CTGGTACCTAGATATCCTCCACAGCAGAGTGGGTCAGAGAGCTAGACACAATGTAACAAGGTAATGCCCAGGCTATAACAACAAAATATAAAAGACCCAAAAAGGCAATGGGGAGGAATGTGACCAGCTGTGGCTGGTTTAGGGATGGGATAGATATACAGTGTTATAAAAATCCAATTACATGGAAAAGAAGAATTACCATTAAAAAATGCCCCGAGATCCTTTAAACCCACATTTGGGGGGAGGGGGGGGTTTGTCTTTTTTTTCCTGAGCTTGAATTCTGCAGGTCTTCTCTCCTCCCCTACTTGATGTAGGGGGCCCGAGCTGGATGGGAAGCAGCGGGGGCTCGATCAGATGCAGGCTTAGGTGCTTCTCCTTGGACTATAAAGATGGCGGCAATGCCTCCCTTTTTTCCTCCTCTCTATCAGCAGTGGGTGACTGAGCTTAAGGGGGCTGCCTGCTCTTTCGGGCCCAGCTGTCGGGGTGCTGCTGGACGCTGTGCAGAGGAGTCTGTGTTGTTGCTGCTGGTCCCTGATGGAGAGGCTGCCTCTAGCTGCCTCTGGATGCAGCATCTCCTGGCTGCAGCCAATCAGAATCCAGCAGCAGCAGCATCAGCACCACCACCAGCTGTAACCCTGTCACTGCCGGAATCAGGCCTGCAGTGCTCTCAGCTGCCACACTAAGCAACAGTCTATCCGGCACGCTCGGGGTTAACTAGAAGAGGCTTAACAGGACCGGGATCTGCATCTGACGGATTGTGATGGGAAGGGGGGGTGGGGGGCGGGTTGTAGATGAGGGGAGGTCCACCGACATGTTATCCAGGGTTCCTAAATCAGGGCAGAGAGCACACCGCCCACCCACTGAAGTTTTACTGCTTCAATTTTGTGCCTTGACAAAGGCAGCCAGGGATAATCGTCATCACAGGCTGTGCACTGACCCTGGCTAGGCCCACCATGCTGCAGCACACACTACAGGAGGACACCCTGTGTGCACATTACACAGCCATGCTGCTGTTTCATAAATACTGTCAGAACATGGCACCCACTGTGCACAGCTGTGTGTGTGATGTACTAAGAGATGACTGTGTACTATGCACATGGCAAGGGAGACCTGGGTCCTCATGGACTGAGATCTATTATGGAAAAAAAAATCTAAATATTTGTGAAAATGCATACATTTATAGCTGTATAACGTGAAATGCAACCTAGACACACGGCACATAGATGGCTCTGGGTATAACAACGTGTATCTAGCAGGTGCCCAGCAATCTGCTCAAAATAGTGCTTCCTCCTTCAGATGAAAATATGATGTATATTAAAAGCAGGGATTCTGTGGGTGTCAAGTGTGCAGAACAGGATGTAAAAGGAAAAGGTGCACTGTAATATATAAGCAAGCAATGCAAATGAGCTATTTGTATAGAGAACAAGCAGCAACCATGGTAGAGCTATATTGGGGTATCATGAAAGGGCTGCAATCCTGTTAACCTCACCCACACTAGGTAGGGACAATGGAAGTAAAATTGGAATATATTAACATTGTATGGTATCTTAATATCATGTAACATTTCAGAATGCTAATGCTTATCTGCCAATACCAAAACAAGTCATTATTCTGTAGAATAAACTCTTTGGACAGGGCCTTCATAACCTACAGTTTTTTGTATATCAAACATGTTTTGTTAGAATTACTGCCATGCTTTGTTTTACCTATTGTACATTGCTACAGACTGTGGTGGCACTATAGAAATAATTGTAAAAAATATTCCTAATTGATTGCTCTGTCTACTTTAGATTTTTATCCATGGTGCCACTATGCCCAAATATTTCCACTGTATGCTAGATCTAAAGGGCGATGCAGATCAGTAGCAGTTTTAGCCCCATAGATAGCCCTAAATCATACGCCCCATGGTTCCACCCCCTATATTTATTTTTCCATGAGGAAGTGGTGAGGCAGGTAAGGCAATACATAAATAAATACAAATGAATAATTAATACTTTACCTATACTTTACCTATGTAATAAGTAGGGCTCTGTAGTAAATATAATGAATCAGCACATTTGTGCAGACCTGTCTGCAAGTTGCCTCTACGTCTTTAGCGAGAAACAAGAGTTAAGTGAATTGCTTTATGGCTTTTTCAGATATAAATGTCTGCTCAAATGCGTCTGCCATGTGATTTAAGACTTTACACTGAAAGATGGCAGCTGAGGTACATGGCCCATAAATTACTGCTCTGCATGGAAATAATGTGATGAAAAGGATTGGCTGCCTGGGCTCAGCCAGTTCCTTGTCCATATATGTCCATATATGCCTGATGTAAGATTTTATGGAAATTTGAAACGTTGATTACAAAATAAAAGTTACGTTTTATTTTTTGTATGAAAGCCCTAGGGTGCTATCTATTTTATCTTTGTATCGTATGCCGGATTAAGCACCAAGCATATATTTTATATTTTGCGCTAACCTTATATATATAATAAGGCCTAAAATCTCAGGTCCTGTGCTACTAGGACTAGGCTGCAAAGGGCTTAGATCAAGAGGAGGAAAATGCCCCTATGGAAATGGTTTTATTTAAATGTTGCTGAAGATAAAGTGTCTATGACAGGGGTGGGCAAAAGGTAGATCCCGGTTGTTGTAGAACTGCAACTTCATGCAGGTCTATAATTTTAATGGCCTTGTTTAACACCTGAAAAAGATTTTGCAGATAACCCTGCCAATGTAGCATTGTTATCCTCTTACACACACTTCTTTGTGATGCATCTTTTATATTACTTTATTTTTCTGGTTAAGTTTAGTTTTGTGGGAAGCACAAATGAACATTTACAAACTCGCAAAGATGTTTCTTTCTTACAGTGGCAATGTGCAGCACTGACCCAGGAATCACCTCTAGTAGCCATATGAGGATTGGCCAGTGGAGGTATCCCTAGGCTGTAATGTAAATACTACCCTTTTGTCTGAAAAGACTGTGTTTACTGTAAAAAGCCTGAAGGGATTGACTATACTCACCAGAACAAGGCTGTATCCCTTTAAAACAACTTGGTTATGGTACAAAGTGGCTGGCCCTGTCTGGATAAGCATTGGATTAGCATTATGAGGTGACAGAAATGGGGTGATGAGGGAATTATAGGGATGGGGTAAAGTGACTGGAGTGGGGGCTAATCTCGTTAGGACTAAGAGGCATGGAATAAAGAGGGGATTATGGGGCTACAGTGAATGAAGGGATTATGAGGCTGTGACGAAGTGCCCTTCGCCACTTGTGCCTGGAGAGGACTGCTTGCCCGCCTCTTGCCCTGTGACTATGGCCCCTGGGATGTATTACCCTTTAAAGACATGATTTGGGCATAATGGATTTGTGTTGTGCTGCTGCTGGCCCTTTAAGAACCATCTGGGGACATACTGTGGAGTTACTGGGTGGCCACCATTTCCTGTATCAGAAGCACATGGTGAGAACAATGGATGGCGGCCATTTTAACTCACAGACACTGTTTGGACTTTTCAACACGGTGCCATCTCGCCAGTATTTGGTGCACAGAGACATCGTGCAGTGGTTTTGGACTATACAGCAGGGGACACATTATAAAGTGATTGTTTTTCATTTAGCCTGTATATGTTCTGCAGAATCTGCATTAAACTGTATTTTCCAAAGTACTGAACGGATCTGGGTGAATTTTGGATATGTGGTTCACCCAGATCCCCCGGTTCCAAGGATATACTTTTATGGGGTTATTGCATGTTTTGGGGTCCCTGTGTGTTTTATGAAACTGTATTATTTCTGGCCAGCAGATAATTGAGCTTTGTGTATTGTAGAAACTCAATTATCTAGCCTGGCCCAGAGGAGGAGTTTTGTGTTGCATAAATTGTGAGTTCTGTGTGCCAGTAAATCAGTCTTGTTCCAGCATTAAGCCTTGGCTCATGTTTGGGGGAAGGGATACCTACACTCTGGGGATTGCTATAATCACTTACTCCCCAGAGGAAGCTCTTGCAATAGCTTGATTTGTTCCTGTTCCTGCTCTCTGGGGAAAGAGAGGTTCACCCACTGGAAGCTGGATCCTGGCCTTGGGTCCAGGGTGGGTGGAAACAGCAGAGACCCCGGCGCAGTTGCATCGCTGGAAGTGGGGTCTGCAGTGCTGATGGTGTCGGTTGGAGTGCTTGGAGTCCTCAGCGAGCACTAGGAGCATCGATTGGCGGAGGTACTCAGTCGGAGTGCCAGCGGTCCGTCACAGAGGCCTCTTATTTGAACATACCCTAAGATTATGCACAGGCGTTTCCAGGTCCTAACACAAGCCAACATTTTCTTTAGATGGAAGTATATTTTGGATCTTACCATTTTCCATATAGGAATGGGGTGAATTGTTAGCCATCTTAAAAGAACATTATAGTGTTAGGCAGAGGCGTAACTAAAAAACCACGGGGCTCTGGTGGAAATATGCAGGGGGGTGTCAGGGCAATTGTAGGAGGGAGGCATGGTAGGAGGGACGAGTGTGACAGGATTAAGGGGGGTTAATGTGACAGGGTAGAGTGAGGGCAGGTGAATTTGGAGGGGGTAAGATTAACAGGATTAGGAGTGGGTAATGTGAGTATGGAGGCATGAAGAGGCTGACAGTGTGTGTGTGTGTGTGTGTGTGTGGGGGGGTGATGACAGTGTAGGGAGGGATGGCAATGTGTAGGGAGGTCACAGTGTGAGGGGATGCTAACAGTGTGTCTGGGGAGGCTGTGTGTGTGTGTGGGGGTGATCCTGTCTGTGAGAGGGTGATGGTGTTTGGGAGGGAGGGGTGTGATGGTGAGGGGGTGATGGTGAGGGTAGGGGTTGGGGAGGGGGTGCGGAGAGGAGGGGGATGGGATGATGGTGAGAGGAGATGGGGGTGATGGGTGTGAGGGGAGAGGGGGTGATGGTGTGATGTGAGGGAGAGGGGTGATGGTGAGGAGGGAGAGGGTGTGATGGTGAGGGGTGATGGTGAGAGGGGTGATGTGGGTGTAGGGAGGGTGACAGTGAGGAGGGAGAGGGGGTGATGGTGAGAGGGAGGGGGTTGATGGTGAGAGGGAGGGGTGATGTGAGAGGGGGAGGGAGGGTTGATGGAATTAGGGAATGTGCCTCTGTCAGCATATGCCTAAATAATGTTTTTTTGTATTTTGAGACAGTAAGATTAGAGAGGTTTGAGAAGCATGTCATCTGGATGAAAGTTCACACCCACTTCTGCTACCTTTAACATGATGTCATGAATTTTCTTCCAGTATGGTATTATCAGCGGACACTCCCAGAAGATGTGCATAAGAGATCCAATTCCACTCCTACATCTCCAACAGAAGTCTGGTACCGTTGGGTAAAACATTGGTAGTTTCTACTGTGTAGCGTATCAGTGAGTAAGGATCTTATAATTGGTTTCCTGATTGCGTATATGGAACTGAGGTAAGTAAATGAACATGAACATCATATGGAGAGCTTCCTCTCACAATAATTGAAACATAAAAGCTGGAAGTCAATCTTCCGACAACAGTAGTCGGTAGAGCATGAATATGCTGCAGTAAAATGGTTTATGTCCTAAAGA